AATAAGTTTTCCCAGTATTTTGTGATAAAATTATATTCGGGTTGGCTTATACTGGAGTATATCTGGTAAGTGGTTATGTGATTTGATGAATATATAATATCATTCTATTTCAGAAAACCTTTTTTTTAAAAAAGAAAAAGACTTCAGTCTTTCCTTAACAATATTACTGTATAAATATTCATAAAGGATAAAATATAATTTTATTGATTAACAATTAAATAATAATATCTGACTATATATAACAATGTTTTATCAAGTCTATTGCCAATTTTATGTACCTTTTATATTACGGATCGCCATTTTTGTAGATATACAGTAGAGTCTCGTTTATCAGACATAAACGGGTAGGGAGAACGTCAGATAGACAAAAATGTCAGATAATAGGGAGGGATTAAAAAAGAAAAGGGCATTTTCTACCTTTTATCTCCTGGCCTGGAGGAGCCCCAAGCCCTGCCCCACAGAGCCATGGTGGCCACATTCCCGCAAGGAAAATAAAATTTGAAGAAAACGGCACTCTCTAATTTAATGGTTTCCAGAGGTCTTGGGCAAATGCCCTGCTTTGCCCTCCCTCCTTCCCTCCGTCTGTGCCTCTCTCGTTCTTCTGTTCCTCCTCCTCCGATGCCACATGGCACCAGTGCACACACTCCAAAGACCCTAGAAAGCTGTTGTCAGGAAACCAAGATTGTTTGCAAGTACTGCTAAGGCCCTGAAGGGCATCTGTGCATAATGTCCAATGACCCTAGAACGCTGTTGCCAGGCAACCAAGATTGTTTGCCAGTGTTGCCAAGGTGCTGAAGGTCATGCCGGAGGATTCCTTTGCCCTTTACTGGTGCAAGCATCCTGCTAGAGAGAGTCGAGTGAGGCAGAGTGTCGGATAAGCGGAGGTCGGTTAAATGAGTACTATAATATCTTTACGTAGATAAAAGAAATATGTATATGCATTGAAAGAAATTGGATTAAAACAACCACTATAGAGGCAGAGAGAGTGTGACTACATGTTTTCCACTGTAATGGACAATGTTTAACACAAGATATGAATATAATATCCCACTGCAAAATGAAAGCAATACTGAGGGCCCATCCAAACAGGGCCTTTATTGTGGGAACTTCCGCAATAAAGGAGGGGTTGTCCAGACAACGTTCTGGACAGTTCCGCATTAATTCGCTACAAACCAGGAAAACCCTGGTTTGTAGCGAATAAATTTGATTTGATGTGGGATAAATGCACTATTTCCGGGTCTGGACTGCAGAATACTACCGACAATATTCCACAGTCCAGACAATATTCCCATGTCTAGACAATATTGCTATCCCTACCAATTTGGTGTTGTCTGCAAACTTGCTATCTAGACAAATACCCACCCCCTCCTTCCAAGCCCCTAGATCCCTTAGAAAGCTAAAAAAAAACCTTATGTGGTCTCAGTTAGAAGCACTGGTAAGCTCTCCTGGCATGTAGAAATGACGCACCCGGAGAGCGGGGGGGGGGGGAGAAGAGAGGAAAATCTGGAGTCTGGGGACTTGTGGAGGGTATGGCCTCCATACATTCTCTCAGGCTAGTCCTGAGAGAACGTGTGGGCAACACACCCCAGAAAGCAAGTGCTTTCTGGGGTGGGTATGGGCAGGCCCCCAGAAACATCTGCTTTTTTTAACGCGGGTCTGTCTGGATCCGGCCTGACTGAAAAAATAACTCCTGAAATCCCATTCCTTAATGTTTCCTTACAGTAATAAGTTCAAACATGGCCATGCAACCCAAAAACTCAGCAACCCAGTGATTCTGGCATTGAAGCCTTCAACAATAGACTGAACCTTACTTTGTCCCCCTACAGATGTGCTGGTCAAAAAAAAACCCAAGTATATTTGCTCCCTGCCTCCTATGATTTACCAAAGTCTCTAAAATAGGAATAGCTCTTAAACAGAACAGCTGAGGCCCCAGAGGGATATACTGGGTGTGTTAAAAGTATTTGGCTGCACATTTAACTCATATGCAATCATGCCAGCCACATGACCTTGGAGGTATCTACGTATAATGCCAGCTCTTCGGTTTAGAAATGGAAATGAGCGCCAACCCCCAGAGTCGGACACAACTAGACTTAATGTCAGGGGAAAACTTTACCTTTACCATTTACCTTAATTCACATTTTGGTTGTTCCTTTTTAAACCCAGCTATTAGCTTGTTCCTCAGAAAGATGGTGGTTTAGACCCCGTGGCATCTAATATGCGGGTGTGTCAGTCCCACTCACAGTTCCTGTTTGCCACTGTCAGCTGTAGCCTCTGTAACGGAGGAAATGTGGTCGGGTATAGGAGAGTCTTTTGAACATATGGAAATTAACAGGAAAGCATCTCCAAGGCTCCCTATGTGAGAGACAGATTCCTCATTATTGTTAATTTTCTTTCAGTCCTGGTTTCAGCAAAAGGGTGATTTTTTTATCCTAATTTTTCCCAATAAAGATAAGAGTCCAGTGGTTTGCTCCTTACCCTGCGGCCCTCCCCACAATGTCCCTATTTCATAGTGTCCCAGAATGCCTTGTAGTGCCTCAAAGAGTTCCTTATAGTGTCCCAGAGTAGACATTCCTTACAGTGTCCCTGAGTCTCCATAGTGCCCCAGAGAGGAATCTTGGCCAATACAGTCTTCTTCCATAGATGAGCCTCACAACAGTTTCTCTAAATGAAAATTGATGTATTCCTTCAACTTACCTTTCTTGTTGGGTAAGGGGTGTGCAAAAGGTGGAGTGGGACCAGATACCAGCACAAACACTGTAATCAGCGTAAGAATTTTTCTTGGGTCTTTTTTTTCTTCAAAATCTCCATGTAAATTGAAAACTGGATTAAAACATTGAATTGCCAGATACAATCACTGGCTTATGATCATTTTTGTGGAAAGTATGATGGGCTTTCTTAGAGTTTGCTGATTGCAGGTCAGATATCTCTATGATAGGGCAGAGGTCTATCATTTAGCAATATTTTCAGAAATCTGTGTTTATATGTATTTATGGGGAAATTTCCCTGGGTGCTTGGAATCACAGAATCATAACGCCAGTTTCGTGGGCCATCAATCCCAACAATCTGTTGAATGCAGGATCTTCAGCTAAAACATCCTAGCCTTTTTTTGATCCAGAGAAGTAAATCTCACCACCTCTTTAGGTGATTGCTAAACCATTCGTACTATCAAGACATTCCTTCTAATGTTCAATTAAATCCTCTCCTAATAGTTGCCCATCACTGCTTTCAAGTATGGAGAATTTGCATAGCTTCTAGCACTTAAATTATTTGTTTGCTTTATTTGTGTTTATACTTTTAATCAGTAAGTATTTTACATTTACTTTTGCATGAAGATCTCAATCAGTTACATGATGCCAGCCTAGGAATACTATATTTGTTCTTATGAACCTATTGCATTTTGCAATTCTTTCCGCAGCAGTGCCAACCAAATTCAATATGGTTGTTGAGACAGTTTTAACTAGTGGATTTTAACATCAAGATAAGTGATTTTAATGCTTTTGTATATGTATGGTCTAATATGTTTTGGCATTGAATGTTTGCCGTTTATATGTTGTGCTCCTCGCTGAGTCCCCTTCAGGGTGAGAAGGGCGGAATATAAATGCTTTAAATAAATAAATATTAGCAATTAGAGTCATAAGCTCTTATATTTATGATTTTACTGTGCTGGCCAAAGACCGTAATAAATCATTGATTGATTGATTGATATTTATGATTTTATGAAAGCAATTTTTAAAGAAACAAAATATTTCCTCCACCACCCCCTCCCTGCTCCACTGCCCTCCAACCAGGAAGCAGGAACTGATTTATTACGAACATGAAGCAATAAAATGGCTGCCCTTGTAATGACAAATTTTGAATGAATGCTGCCTGGCACCTTTGCTATTCAGGTTGCTTATAAATAAAGATCTTGTTGCTGAGGGAAGGGGTTTGCTGGGTAATAAACAAGTGTTCCGTGGAACCTATACATTAATTCTGAGAAGGTAGCATAGATTTATAAAAAGAAATGCGTAATTCTAAGAAGGAAATTGTTTATCGCTGAGCCTGGAACCCCAGGTTTCGGCGGTGACCAGGGGAGCATTTGCACAGCTAAAGCTTGTGCGC